AGCCATATGAGTTGGAAGGGATACCTCAAAGAAGGAATTTACTCTCTGTTCCCAGACCCCGTTATATGCACTCACGCTCCAACCCCCACCCCCCACTCCCACCCCCATCTCCCTTCCTCTTTTTATCTCCCATTTTCCTAATCCCATCCTATCAGGATGCCGAGACAGTGATGAGCCAGGCTGTGAGTCGCCCCACTGTGACCCGAGCCCCAGAGCCCAGCCCAGCCCAGGCTCCACTCTCTTCACCTGTTCTTGTGGCACTGACTTCTGCAATGCTAATTACAGCCATCTGCCTCCTCTGGGCAGCCCTGGGACTCCTGGCTTCCAGGGTCCCCCGGCCACCCCAGGTAGGCCCCTGGGGTGCTGAAGCTGGGTGGGGGCTGGGGCCCAGGTTAGGATGAGAGGTAGAATCAGGGTCAGTTCTCCCTCTACCCCTGTCCCAAGCTTCCCTCCTCCTGGCCTTGAGAAGTTGGTTGCCCTGGTGACTGGGAGATAAGGGGGCTTGCGATCAGGGTGGGGGTGGGTTAAGAAGCAATATCTCTGAGGAGGGGGAGAGGAGCAGAGAGTGGATTTGGGGCAGGGCTCATCTAGCCTGCATCTTTGCCTTAATACCCAGGCGAATCTATTTGGATGGCGCTGGTGCTACTGGGGCTGTTCCTCCTCCTCCTGCTGCTGGGCAGCATCATCTTGGGTATTAATCTGCCTCCTCCCTTCTTTGTGACCCCAAGACACTGCCCTGGAGTTCTGACCCCTCTCTAGGCTCCCCTGACCCCATGGCTCTGAGACCTCTGCAGCCTGATCCCCATTACCTCCCACAAAGCCCCCTTCCCAGTCTCCATGCCTGTGCACCCTGACCCTAATGCTCTTCTCTACTCTAGCCCTGCTACAGCGAAAGGTCTGCAGAGTGCAAGGTGTGCCAGAGCCAGAGCCAGAGCCAGAGCCAGACTCAGACTCAGGCAGGGACTGGAGTGTGGAGCTGCCTCAGCTGCCTGACCTGTGCTTCTCCCAGGTGCCCAGGGAGGAAGGGAAGGGTCCTTTAGGCACTCCCAGTGTCTGTGCTGGGGAGGAAGCCTAGCACTGGTACTAGCTAAGGCCAGCACCCAGCACCGTATCCCCACCAGGTAATACGGGAAGGAAGTCACGCAGTTGTGTGGGCTGGGCAGCTGCAAGGCAAGCTGGTAGCCATCAAGGCCTTCCCCCTGAGGGCTGCGGCCCAGTTCCGAGCTGAGAGAGCATTGTATGAGCTGCCAGGCCTACGGCATGACTACATTGTCCGCTTTATCACGGCCAGCAGGGGGGGCCCTGACCCCCTGCCTTGTGGGCCCCTGCTGGTGTTGGAGCTGCACCCCAAGGTGAGGACCAAAGAATGTACATGTGTGTGTTTGCCTGTGTATGAATGTGGATGGACGGGAGTCCTGGTTGGCAGCTGGGCCCTGTCTACGCTTGTTCTTCTGCTTTACATTTCCTCTTCTCTAAAACATGAGAAATTATTTTTATTGTTTATGTTTTTATTACACAAGAAATACCTGCTCATGATTAACTTATAAAATAGATAAAGAAAGGGGGGAATCAAAACTATTCATATTCTATACCTTAAAGAAAATCATTGTTAAAGAAATACCTCTAGGCACAGCCCTCCAAACCCATTCTTATATTCATTCAACAAATATTTATAAGTTGTGTGTCTGGCATTGTGCTGAGTGCTAGGAAGAACATACCCAGTCCCTCCCTGCCTTTACAGATTTTATAGAGTAGTAAGGAAGACAGAAGTGGGTTAAGTAAGTACAAAAATAAGTATAAAATGTTAAGTGTGTTAGGTGCCGAAACAGAGGGCCATGGTACTATAAGAGAAAAATAAGGAGACTTGACTCAAGGGGAGGACAGGAAACAATGAGGATAAAGAGGAAGAGGTAGGCAGGGCCAGACCACACCCAGTCTTGTGGGCCTACTAAGGACTTAGGTCTTTATCAGCACCTACAGCTCTGCCACCTCTGAAATCTTGAATTCTGGAAAGTCCCTTCTTTGACCATGTGCCTCATTGCCCACCTCAAAAATCACTGCTTTATGGGTTTTGTTTGTTTAACTTTCCCTGCACACTGAAGGTATTCAATGTTTGTCGAATGAGAGACTCTATTGTTCTTTTCCCTCCAATTCCTACTTGCTCCCTACCCACTGCTCTGCTACCTAATAGCTCTACTCATCTGATAGCTCTATCATAGAAGCCTGACACCTCAAGGCCAGGTGGTTCATGAGGAGTGCCTCTTCTGCTCTGTCTTTGTCCCAAGCCCCCTGAGGCAGCATAAGATGGTTAATAACAAGTGATACTAGAGTCAGACTTCTTGGGTCCAAGCTCTCTTTCTCTCTCATGAAATGACTTCTGGCAAGCTTACTTAGCTCTCTCAAGCTTCTCATCTATAAAATGGGAGTCACAGGAGTATCTACCTTCTAGGGTTGTTGTGAGGATTACAAGAGGCCTGGCCCACAGTAAGTGCTCGGGCCACTTGAACTAGAGTTACTGTTTTTCCTGTCAGTCTGACTGATGCACATTCTCACATCTCTACTGCCTGTTGTCTTGGCCTGCATGTGTCAGTGTGTCGGTCTGCTGGGAGATACAGGAGGAAGTCTGTCAATTGATCTCTGCTTCCTGGGGTGGATAAGCCACCTCCAGCTTTGTGTTTTCCCTTTCTCTCTACTTCTCCCCAGGGTTCCCTGTGCCACTACTTGACCCAGCACACCAGTGACTGGGGAAGTTCCCTGAGGATGGCACTTTCCCTGGCGCAGGGCCTGGCATTTCTCCATGAGGAGCGCTGGCAGGATGGTGAGTGAACTGAGAGCAGGAAGTCATGGGAATCATTGCTGTTTTTCTGATTCTTCCTTGGCTTGGAGGGGAAGGATTGAGTCAAAAGAGAAAGGTGGAAGATCCATACCTTTTCATCTTTGGCTTCTCCCACAGGCCAGTATAAACCAGGTATTGCCCACCGAGATCTGAGCAGCCAGAATGTGCTCATTCGGGAGGATGGGTCATGTGCTATTGGAGACCTGGGCCTTGCTTTGGTACTCCCTGGCCTCACTCAGGCCCCCACCTGGGCCCCTACTCAACCCCGAGGCCCAGCTGCCATCATGGAGGTGAGTACTCTGGATAAAGATGAGGCCCAAGATGATGGTGGTGGTGCTAATGAAGATACGCCCATTGCTATAGCAACAGTGCAGCAATGCCTATAGAATTTGGGGCATTTCTAAGTCTGTAGTTGAGGGGATGTTGCATGGACCAGTGTTATGGTGAGGGTTGCCAAGGAGACAATTCTTGACCCTCCATGCCTCCCTCTCCAGGCTGGTACCCAGAGGTACATGGCGCCAGAGCTCTTGGACAAGACCCTGGACCTACAGAACTGGGGTATGGCCCTCCGGCGAGCTGATGTTTATTCTCTGGCTCTGCTCCTATGGGAGATCCTGAGCCGCTGCCAAGATTTGCGGCCTGGTAAGGATGAGTGCAGTAGTCCCCGACTTTTCCCTGATGCCTCACCCATCCATTCCAGACCCACCTACCTCCTAACCCAGGAAGCTCTGTCCTAGTCCCCCTTGCTCTTTCCACAAGGAAGACACTGCTAGCATTAGCGACATCTAGCCCCATGTGCTTTTCTCCAGACAGCAGGCCACCACCCTTTCAACTGGCCTACGAGGCAGAACTGGGCAGCACCCCTACCACCTGTGAACTGTGGACCTTGGCAGTAGAAGAGAGAAGGCGTCCCTACATCCCACCCACCTGGCACTGCTTCGCCACAGTAAGAGGCCACACAGGCTGGTGGGCTGGGGATTTGGAGAGTCTGGGCATGGGCTTCAAGGCCTTGTCTGCTAGAACCAGTCCCTCTACTCTTATCTCCTCATCTTCCACCACTCCTTGCTCATGTTCGTCCAGAGCTGGGCAAACTTTCTCTGTACCTCAGTTCATCCTCTTCCACCATAAGTCTCATGCAGCCCATTCTGAGACTCCCACCTTCCTTCTGCTCAGTCTTGCCCAGTCTGTCTTTCTTCTCCTCACCTTCGGTTAGCCCTCTTCCTCAGCCCCCTGCTCTAGGATGCCCTCCTTGGCTTTGCTGCTGCCCTGAGCTCTACCCCCAAGATGGCTCCTCTCTTGGTACACTGGAGCCCAGCGTTCAATCCAATAATTCTTTGTTCTGTCCTACACATCTTGGTTTGTACTATGACTCAATAAAATCCAGTTCTAGGTATAAAGGGTTAAAGAGTTAAAGCAGTGGCCTAAAGTGAAATTTCAGGGGTCTGTACTAATAGTTTCCTAAAGAAAGTCCTTTACCCTGCTACCTACTCTGAAATACATGGTCTGAAATTCCTAATGCACAAGTATCTTCTGGATTAGAAAACAGAGGCCCAGGAATTGTTTGCAGAAGACCCTGATTTGCCTGAAAGGAAAGAGAGCAATTTCCCATCAACATGTTAAGCGGTTAACCGGAATTAGTGCCTCAGAGAAAAGGTGGACTCTTTGGAAAGCCCCCAAAAACCTGTCCCAGGGAACAAGATGCAGAGGGCAGGATTTCAGTGAGAGGGAAAAGGAGGCTTACTCCAGGAAGGATCAGAATAAGAGTGTTGAAAACAAGAATGGTGGATCCCTTTTAATCCTGGGGGCCACTCAGGGCCACTCAGGATCCTGGGGTTAAGCTTACCTCCCGGTCATTCTTCCTAGGACCCTGCTGGCCTGAGAGAACTCCTAGAGGACTGTTGGGATGCAGACCCAGAAGCACGGCTGACAGCTGAGTGTGTACAGCAGCGCCTGGCTACCCTGGCCCATCCTCAGGAGGCCCTCTCTTTCCCAGAGGGCTATTCACATAGCTGCCCACCTCTCTGCCCAGAAGACTGTCTCTCAGCTCCTCCCCATTACCATTCTCCCTTGTAGGCCTCAGCTGAGAATCTGCCACTTCAGCGTTCATCAAAGCCCTTGTTCCAGGAATTCTTAACCTGCTGGTACCATTTCTCATGTGTAAATATGCAGTTTATGTGTAATCTATGTATGTGCAAACATAAATATGGTGATCATATGCCTGTCCGCTCTGCCCCATCACTGCCTTTCCTATTTGCCAAATGCATGTATGCTTCTGTGGGCATCCAGTCCACTGTAATTATGACCAGTGACTGAGGGTAGGTGTGTACAAGAAAGAGATAGTCAGCTTTCCTGACTCTGCATCCTTGAGTCTTCCTTCATTCCTGTGATCCTGGGCTCCTCTGTCTCTCTTCTTTTCCTTTTCCTCCACAAGTCTTTATTTGGTGTGATGTCATGCAGGGCACTTGGGAAAGAAGGTTGAATACGATGAAATTGCTGCTCTGAAGATGTTCAGAGACCCACAACTCACTTTGTCCTGTACAGAAGGGGGCTCCAACCCCCAGGCCTCAGACCTTACCATCTGTGGCCTGTTAGGAACCTGGCCACATAGCAGGAGGTGAGCAGCAGTGGCAGCAAAGCTTCATCTGTATTTGCAGCCGCTCCCCAGCGCTAGCATCACCGCCTCAGCTCCACCTCAGTTCATCAGGCATTAGATTCTCATAGGAGCCTGCCCAGTCCTTGGTGCCAAAAAGGTTGGGGACTGCTGCTGTACAGTGTCCTGGGAGGGAGTGTCTTCTCCTGAGGCTTGAATGAGAAGACCTCACAGAGCACATGATGCTTAAGCTGGGTCTTGAATGAACAGACGTTTTCCAGAAGTGTTGAGGGGTAAGGCATT